AAACCAGAACCTATCTTATTTGAATACATGCATGCATGCATGCATTCCAAAATAAAAAATTGTCTTCTATCGACACCCGGTTCCACTGCCATGTTGCATCAAGTTTTCAATGGCCACCATGTTTCGTGCATCCGACAGAATGAGAAGTCCAAAAATCAACTCAAAATACTAAATTTCAAAATGTTTATATTACTCATAAAAATGAAATGTACTTTACTCCAAATTTAAATTATTATTACATTATGTTTAGTAGACTATACAATTACAAAATACAGTATGTATACAAATGGCAATTGTAAAAGATACACAGTATTGTTACTTATAAATTCAGGAATGCTAATTTAAACAGAAACATCTAGAAAGCTAAACGGGGTCCAGGCCCATTATGGAGCCTCCCACGTCATTAAAAGAAGTTTGAAGGCGGCCAGGCCCCCTCCTGTTTCTCTTTCCTGCTATTTCCTTTTACAAAGGGCGTCTACGCCCATTATGGTGATTCCCACGACATTAAAAGAAGTTTGAAGGGGGCAGGGCCCCCTGTTTCTCTTTCCTTCTGTTTCCTTTTCTCTCTTCAGGATGTACAGGGGACAGTGGGCCATCCTCTTTTTCTGTCATATTTTCACATTTCAATTGGCAAAGTATTGGGAGCCCCTATTCCTATTTTCATTTTCCTCATTTACAAGGATTGGAGATGCAAGCCTTCACCCTCTTTAGTTTTTACTTTTTCCTTCGTAATAGGAGTGTGTCACCACACAATTTCCAAAAACAAAACCAAAGGAAAATGATTTGGGAAGAGATTTGTATCTAAAGAAAAGGCGACAATGACATTCCTAAAATGTACAGATGTGTGAAACAAGTGTTATGCAATGTTGACCCATGTAAAAAATAGAAGAAGAGAAACGTCAAGTTAGCACTGCTCTAGGGGCACATCCATTCAAAACTCTCAACAGACAATTAAATTCCATTGATCTTACTACGTCAAAGGAATCTCCCAATTGTGCTTCACATTAGGGACTGGGATTGAGGTCGTGGTGGTAGCACCATTTGAGCCTCAGCTACCGGTCTAGGTTTCCATTCCCACTGACACATTTGAAAATTGCTAATTAATTATAAAAACGGGTAGGGGCGGGTATTCCCCACTGATCTACCCAAAAAACAAAAAAAATGTGCATCACATTAGCCCTTCATCCCTTTCAGAGCCTTTTCCCTGCTGCACTCTCACAACTTGAAACTAAATTGTGTGTTTCATTAGCCCTTGAATAGGAAGATCAGAAGATGTAAATTCAAAAATTCAAATCGTGTTCAACATGTTGCTCAAACGTTAAAGCCTCACAATGCTTCCCATACTAGTCCCTACTAGGATACTCAGGCCATGACAAGTTCCAGAGAAGCTCTTTGAGTGCCCAGCACCTCCAGTTATTGGCATCTTCTGCCACCAATTCTTTTACATGAATATAATTCCCAGATTTTTCTTCATCTGCATTGTTCGTGCCTAGACATTATTAAGCCCTTAAGATCCAGAATTCTTTCATCGGTGAAGCCCACACCTTACCCTTCCACTACCTCTCAAACTTGTAGGCAACATTGCATGGCAGGCTGTCTCCGAAAGTCATACATTGGAGATTTCTCCTTGGTGATCAGGAAAAAGCCACAGAACATTGTTGCACCCGTGAAGTTAAGACTAGAGGCTATGAAGCCATTAATCACTAACAAACACATTACAACGCTATGACACATGCTTAATCGGAATTAAAACGCCATCTATCGTAACGATGAATTGGTATGCATCACATATAATTCTACGAGGGCCATATTATTATATAATCAGCATATCTACATTGAAGGCAATTCTATTGTTGACTCCCTTGCTAAAAAAAACCCTAGAGTATAACCAATCGTTGTCCATTAATCTTTGTCTATTCTCACTGTTATGAACCCCAAAATGTGTTATGTAATGAGAATTATGAGATACCCCATTAACATATTACAGTATGTCAGAAAGCATAAAAAGCACCATGAGGCAGCCACTAAACCATAGTTGCCAAAAGCCCCCACCTTAAACCAGGACAAGGCAAAATGAATTCACCAAAAAGGATTTCTGTTAAGAAGGAAGGAGATGGCATTTACCATGAAAAGCAGGAAATCAGCGAGGAAACGATCAGAAGAGGGGTCCCCTGAGGAGAAGCCCTGAGCGTCCATGAAGGACAGTATCCTTTGAATATCTTCCAGCTTTCGCAGAGCTTCCATTGCCACTTTGTTTCTGAGATGGACCTCTCTCTCCAAGGGAAAGATTGCTACCGCCAAATCTTAAATTGAGGGAAATCGTTTTCAACCCCTAGATTGGCATCGGGTTATTAGGTTCGTATTGAATTTTAGTACTGATGTAAAGGCTCGTGAATAGAAAGCAAAATCCCGTAACCCCAAAATTCACAAATTAAAACCAGAACCTTTTCTTTTCTTGTTTTGGGCTAAGTAAATTAAAAGCATAACCGAAGTTTTAAAACCAGGAATCAGGTCACGTGGTCCAGCATGGCCCTCCGGTGCACGATCCGGACCACCCCAATCGATTATATGAAGTAACAAAAATACTGAAAACAATAATGATCAGGGGTTGTATACTATGAGACTATTTATCTTTCTCGGTCACAATTGCTACTAGCCATTGGATGTCAAATGGAAAGACTTGGGTTATGTCACAAAATCCAAAAATTTATATATCTTTTAACTTTGAGTTAAATCAATGACATTGACAACCATCCAATTTGAAATATAATGTATAAAAATAATTGTAACCTCCTTGTACTAAAAATAAAAGGTGTGGTTTCTATAACGTTGCAATCTTAGGATTATCTGAAAATTTATTTTTATATCTAATTGTAAACTTCTAAACCCCAAAAATTGTTAAAATCAAGTAGATCTATAAACATATGAAAATATTGAAAATGGACGGTCTAGATAATGTGTTGCAAGATGCATTGTTTTTGAGACTCAAAATCTTTTTCATATTCATACATCTCGATCTCAAGAGGTTCAATGAGAGGGCTTTTCAACATTAAGACAACATTTTCCAATGGATTTTTGAGGTTCATCTTTAACTCTGCATTTTAAGGTTGCAACCTTATATCAACATATTTTCAAAAATAAATAGTCTCTTTGTATGCTTTTCCTAAAGATTAATATTGTCAACTATATATATATATTTATAGGAGAAAATTCTAAACAAAGTTGCAACTAATATTAAGAAGCAAGGTGCCACTCAAAAATCCAGTAGAAAGGAGTGTTTCGAAGTTCGAAAACCTTCCAACTGGTCATCTTGATCTTGAAATGTATGGACAAAAAGGGAAGAAAAGAATTTCAAATTCTTAAAAATAGTGCATCTTACTACAAGTTTTCAAGAGTGTCTATTTTCAAGATTTTCAAGTGCTTATAGAACTCTTCGATATGCATCATTTTTTAAATTTAAATTTCATAATTAGGATTAGACATAGATTTTCATGCTATCATAAGATTTTTGACACCGGAACTGCATATTCTGACAAAATTTAGAGGTGCATCTAAGGTAGGCACCTTATACAAACCTCACACATATTTAGATATATTACATGGTAAAAAGTATTTATAAGGTTGATCAAAAATCCTAGAAGAGTGTATTCCGATGTTAGAGAACCCTCCAATTGATCGACTCAACCTCAAGATGTATGACGTGAAGAAAACACGTTCTAAATCCAAAAACTAGTGCTTGTAATAATTTATCTAGACTGTCTATTTTCAAGATTTTCAATCATTATTTGATATGCTCTATATGTGCCATTTTTAAATTTTATAACTAAGGGTGAAAAAGAATTTCAAGCCATCTTAAGGTCTCAAGACTTTGGAACGACATCTCAAGCAAATTTGAGGTGTGTGCCTTACTTCTGCAATATAAAGAAGTGACCTTATACAAACCTCACCCCACATTCTATAATTGCTCCATTAATAAGTCACAAAGGGTGGACACATGTCACAATATTAAAGGTGATCCTATATGTAGATGAAGATTTAGGGCAAGTGACTTTAAAAAACACAATAAGTACTGAGAGAAGATGTACATGAGAGAGATGGTGTGAGAGATAGAAGGAAGAATGGTGAGAAGATTTATGTGTGAGAGAGAGAATCATTCTTTAGACGATCTTCCTAGTTACAAAATAATTTAGAAAGCTAGACAATACAATGTTTCCACCTTTAGAGATTTTAGGATATAGGCATGAGATTTTAGGATACGTATGAGTGAGAGATAAGAATGAGATTGAGGAGAGAGAAATTTTTTGTAGGTTGACATGGTTATCATGTGTAGATTCTCCCATTAAATTTCCTATATCTTCATCCCACTTCCAATTGGATAGGTTTGAGATTCGGAAACAAATATAGATAAATAGATAGATTTTATATCCCTTACAGACATAATCAAAGAAAGATATAATTCTTCTTTTCCCCCAATTGTATTCATATAACCCATGTTAGGCGGTGGGACCTCTCTCTCTACCTCCTTTAGGTTCAAAGAGAGAGGAGTTGGGCGCATCCCAATCTTTAGGATAGCTGCAATTGGTCTTACACTTAATAGAGAGATGATGATTCATTTGTTTTAAGAGCGACTGAGGCCTAAAACATGATTTGCACAATGGGTCACTATCATTTATTTTATATCACATTAACTAAAAAGCCTTTGATATTCTCACAGGAAAGCTTTCTATGCTTCCCCTACAACATAGAAGAATTATCTCCCCT